TCCTTGCGGTAGAATGTTCGCTCCGCCAGGGTCTTCTCTTGACAGGTACTATAGCAGTGAGACTCCAGATGGTCGGTGTCTGGGTCGCTCGCCATGCAAAAGACACACCGATTGGCTCCGTTGACGTACACCACACCCCCCTGAGGTGAGCAGGTCCATTTGTCGAGGGCAAGGTGCAATGACTTCTCGTGCCGCTGCCAGTCATACTTGGTAGCAAAGGTTTCAGTACAGAAAGTACATTGGAATATGCGAGAGTTGCGGGCCTTCTGTTGATTGAAAGGGTTCAAGGCTGTTGATGGCTTGCGACGACGACGACGTTCCTTCCTTTCCATTGAACCAAAGGACTCCAAGGAGGACCGATGGGAGAAGGCAGAGGCAAAGGACAGGTCAGAGATGGATGAACGGCTAGCTGACCGACTTTCACCGAAGCTGCTGATGGATGGGGCCTTGAATATATTGGAGTTCGTATGGCTTGAGTCATTGCTGGATCCCTTCCGAGAAAGGGAACGCACGTGACCTGGCTGTCGTGTCGAATCCAAAGGGTTGTTCACCAGGGCTCGAAGAATATCGGAAGTGGAAGCAGGTTCGTTTTCGGGTGGAGAGTACTTCCATCGCTCAAGGGGCGTCATGAGCGCGATGTTTGGTTGCTGCTGTTGCTGCTGCCCGGGAATGTCTATGGCCCCAGGAACCGAAGAATTGCTGGGCGGGCAAGGCCGGGCCTTTCCACGCCGCCTCGCGTTGGCAAGCCAGTTGCTAATCTGGGTTCTCTTCAAGCCAGTGCGCTTTTTCAAATCGTCTTTTTCTTGCTCGGAGGGGTAAGGATGGTCAAGATGCTCCAGAAGCCAGGTCTTGAGGATCCGTACAGCGTCGCGGGAAAGACGAGAACTGCTTTTCCTCCCTCGGCCGTCCATATCTTCCGCCATGGTCATGCCCGTAAGTGATTTCAGCGTCTTCCTCCCCTTTGGACCAACTGTTGGAATATCTGCATTCTCTGAGATGGCCTGTAGAGTTTCCATGTACTTGCCAGGCATCTTAGCGTGCGTGAAGCTGCACTCTCGGAACAATATTATGCAGCACGTGCAGCCATTCTGTAAGGCTCCTCTGTCTGAAACGAAGCAGTCCAGATTCATATGTCTGCAAAAGTCGCAGGGCTCTTTGGCTCGATAAATTGGAAGAGCATTGTTAGATTGCGCATTGACTGACGGCGGTTCAGTCTGCTGGTTGAGATCATCCTGCTCCGGCAGGTCATTGGAAAAGTCCAATGGCGGCTCATGTAGAAGGGATTCGTAGTTTTCAATTGCCTCGTTCTCATCGAGCTCAAACCTGTCAGAAGCCACATCGTCGTCTGGGGCATGGGAGCCAAACGAGGCTCCGTCGAAATCGAAGTATTCCATTTTCAGGGATACTTTACTCCGACACCGATGCCGTATTGAGTCAGTGCCGGTTAATCGACTTGGAATGATCGAGATCAACGGTGTTGTTCGAGTTGACTCGATATGGGGAATAGAAACGAAGTAAACTCAGAGCAGGCCTATGATTGAAAGTTCAGGGTGGAATGGAGGAGCTGATGGAGGGAAGAGGGACAGATAGTCTAGTAGGCAAGATCCGATATTATCTTCGTCTGGGGTATCAGAAGCATGCCGAAGTACCGACGGACCAAGTCAAGCACTCTTTGTTCTGACCACCTTGCAGGAAATCGTTTGGACTGCAGGCCTGGAAGTTGGAACGATCGTCTACGTCGCCTTTGGAGGCAGTCGACTAGCAAGGATTCAGATAGCCTACTCTGTGACCATTAATTTTGATTTGCTCAGTCGCTGGTGGGTTGTCTGGTACTGATGATCACGTTCGGCCTAGTAGGCATGACCGATGAGTTTGACCCCCGCCGAATTGCACGGTGAAGGGCCACCTGTTTCCACAGTTTCCAGGGTTGAGCAGCCACGGCGTTACCCATGGACAGTAGTGGAGAGATAGCGCGTCTCGGTTCACTGACATGACGGCTCCCAATCCCAGGGAAGAAGGGGATTTGCCCGTTCGGAGACAGGCGTGCGAAGTCCGGAGGGATGCCTGAGTCATCTGCATGTACGGTTAGTGCGCGCCCTTCGATGACAGCACTATGCCTGATTTAGACTAGGTTTTGGTTGCGGGGACGCGCCCTGCCCTTCCCGATTGGGTAGGAACGAATCAGCTCGTCAACGATATCGGAGGAGGGGACAATGGATTATCATCATCGATATGATAAGACTCTTCGTATCAACGCGTGCGACGACGATTTCAGATGCTTGGCGTTGTCGACTTGATCAATAAGGCTGATCCCTTCTGGTCTTGACGTATGTTGGTGCTTTTTATGAACTTTGGTCTGACAATCCATCAATCACATTTAGAACTACAGTTATTCCGACTCGTGTCATCAACACGTCTGAGACAACAAGCAGTCGGCATTTGGAGCTCTGGCATATGTTGCACTGACGTACTTTCCATATCCACGCGACCATCCTTCCCACATGTCCAGACCGTAGGGACATGAAACTAACTTACATATATGAAATTAACACTGAAAATGACTACCTTACTACTAAGGCCATTTACAGCTGCATTTCCCGTACGCTATCTTAATAGTAAGCTGCTGCTATAAAGTATTACACATAATTTACACTACCATTCTACACCTACTAAGCATTGTTTAGTACCTTCCTAAGATCATGTTGCTACTTAACCTCAGCAAGTGCCCTGCGTAATTTAACCTACTCCTGAAAGTAATACTAAAAATGGCCTCCTATGCAAGCTGTAGTGTGGTGTATGCAACTCTACCTGTGCAAGCCTCTTTACCTCATCCCTATGTTTGGGGGGCAATTCGGCACTGGTGACTGCATCACTGCAGATCATTTAGACTGTATATGCGCTGCAGCTCCACTTCCTCAGTGTCTCCCTTCTTAACAGTCTTTTGTTCTCAGCAGTCTTCTCTCCCCTGTTATCTTTCCCCCTAACAATCCTCTCCATCCTGCATGATTCAGTTGCTGTCCTGACCTGTCTGCTGTCTGTGGTTGGCTTCTATGTCTCACTAGAAGATTGCGCATTCCATCATCGCCCAAAGATGAACCTAGATTTCCTTTATATCTGCCCTAATGATTGCGACTGTTAAAGAAGGTAGCGGGCTTCCCATCTTCATTGAATTGGATTGCGTCCAACAACGGATGGCTAGCTATGTGGAGCAGGAGCTGACCCGCCACAATCTTCACGTGCATGCTTACAGCAATTGGCAATTGGCAATTGTCTAGATACTCATACTCTATATACCCAGTGATACTACTACCCTGCTATCTTCCTTATCATAAAGTAGTCTACTGAAACTGCAGGAGCCATAAGACTGACCCTAACGCGCACGTCTCAATAGATACAGTTCAATTGACTCGGGCAGAATGTCCAAGATCCGAGCTATCCTGATGAGTAGTAGAAATTCAGACTACTGCAATGGAGCAGGCTGAATGACGCTCGAGACTACGACCTGTATTGACGTTGGGAACGGAGTGTATATGTTTAGTGAACAACATGGTTCTACAGGTCGTGGCAGTCGTTCGACAGATGTACCCATTGGAAGCCATCTTCGTAATCCCTGTCACTCGTGGGGCAGTACCTGGAGTATTCGATGTACATGCTTTGCTCTGTTTTGTTGACTGTATATGTACTAGTGTAGGTAGGTGGTGAAGTCGGTGAGCAAGGCTGTGTAGGTTGGCGATTCGGTTACTAGGCTAGGTGCAGGCCAGCTTCCCAGTCGCCGGGGAACATTGTGAAGGTCCTAGCCTTTTATCAGCCTGTCTCTGATTTATCGTTGATGGTTGGCTACATGGTAGATGTTCTGTTGGTGGTGACGACGTCCCAGCTGGTGCTTCCTGGTGAGCTGCCTTGAGTTAGACCCTGGATAGCTCCCTGAAAATTCCGGTTTTACTAACGAAATGCAGACACCTTGGCCAACCATACATTTCAGGTTGTCTCAGTTTTTATGAATTGTTCTATACCCATTAGCAAGTCTCTTCTCCGACGGAATCTTGATCTTACGGATTCCATGAAAGCAACCGATTCTTGTAGAAGCCTCTTCCATCAAGAATACTGAGTATCAGGCAGGCCATCGGGTGAATACCATAGCTGAGCGGACGAGACAGGTGCTGTCCCTAGAGACAACAGAAGTGCCAGGCGGCCGACACTATTGTAGGCCTTCATGCTGGCAAGCCCAACCACTTACTGGAAGCGTGAAAGACTTATCTTGAGCAACAAAGCGCCGGAGAGAGGACTTGGTATAACGTTCCTAATTCATGTGATCGTCTCTAGCTACTACAATGATGGCAATGCTCAATCCACTCTGCAAATTATACTCAAAAAAAGTACGCCGATAGCGCAGAACTGCACATGACATCTAATGGGTACTTGTTGGAAATTAAAGAAGGGTTTTTACTCCATAGTACCATGGAGCAGGCTGTATAATAACTACAAAATTTGGGCAGAGTTCGCTCCGCTCACTCCCAGCGCAGGGTTCGGGCCTAGGTAATAGTAGAAGCTTTAGGGCCTTAGGAGGGTCTAAAGGGCGAGGCTTAGAGGGCTAAACCCAAAGAGCGGATTTCGCGAGTTTCTACTCCGTAGCTTTCACCGTTATTGTTTAAGAGATGAGTAGATGCAAATCCCGCAGGGCCCGCTATTGATCTCGGCCAATCGGAATTGCTGTGGTACACTGCTGTGGCCTTACAGCTACAGCAGACTACAGCCGCCATAAGGCAAATAAACTTTTGGCCCAAAGTCCTTAACCGTAAGGCTGCGAAATAAACCCTATACTGAGTATCCTTGCACCTGGATCTTAGTGAATCCAGTCTACTGTAGACACATAGACTATAGGATCCGCATTTGGATATTGTTCAACTCCATCTTGCAGCTCTATGTAGCTCTATGTAGCCCAGTCGGCCAGAAAAGACAATTCATGTGCCATCGATAGCATTAAGACGGTGAAGTATCATCTAAAGCTCATAGGGCGGCCCCCTAACACCTCCCTCGCGATAAGAAGCCCCAAGCTCCCCCCTCCCACTCATAAAATCCTCCTTCCAATTCCCCTCCTTCCATGTGCCATCAAAATCATAGTCCCCGCCTTCATCATCCGTCCTCCAGTGCCTAACCACATTCCCAGTGTCATCCAAAAACACATGTAGCAACCCGTTTCCATCAAGAGTCTCTTCATTTTCAATAAACGGATGTGTCACGACACAAGCAGCGTGATATTCTCCATATCGAAGCAGCGGGTCCTCGGTCCGCATCCCCGTAAGAGCGCCCTTGACCATCGGAGTATCCGTCCTCCCCTTCACCTTCAATATTCCCTCCAACTTCGTGAATCCTCCTCCAAATATCCCTGAGAACCTTCTCACGAAGCTCAACATGTGCAACAGACCCCACATTTGTGACCCTCTCCGGGAAGATTTCCAAGAACGTCGCCAGATGTATTCCCTCGCCGCCGAAAAGCTCTTTATCATCGAAGATAATGCCGTCTGGTCCTACGAAAAAGCCGCGTCCAGGTTCTGCGACCATAGGGGACTTATGCGCCTCTTCTTTGTCTGCGTCGTAGCAGAGACGGAGATAAAGTCCTTCGTCTAGGGAGCCCGTGTACTCAGCGTAGGGCCGGAGCCACTCGGGACGCGCGGGATGCAGGATTTCGGTTATTTGAGCGTCTGTAGGTGTTGGGGTTTCAGTTTGTGACTGGTAGGGCTGCTTTATTCGTCGGATGTTAGGTGTCAAAATAGAAATTTGGGAAGGTAAAAAGTACCTGACGTCCCGCACTCCCCAGCGCAAGGAATTGGCGAATAAGCCGATTACGTCGGTCAGATGGGGACTCAGGGACGGGGCTCTGCGAAGAGTCGGCGAGGTAGGAAGAATGCGGAGTATCCCATTCTGAGAGGAGGTAGATGTCCAGTGGGAGGATGCCCCAGGCGGGGGGCAGGGGGGCTCTCCTTCAAGGATTCGGACGGGCATTGTTTGGGTTGTTTTGATCAGTAATTGCGTGATGCAGAAAGTGGAAGTGGGAGAGGAATTAGTTGAAGAGGAAGAGACGGAGAGGAATATGGAAGAGAGGCCGCTGGAGAACAGACTCGGACCTTTGCTGATAGAGAGGCTCTTTAATCGGACATTTTAAGGTCTAGATATGATTAAATTTAGATATATAGTTAGAATAGTGAGGGGATAGTTCTTATATACTTAAGCTCATAATGCAGGAAGTATTTATAGGAAATCGTTAGGGAACCAACCATAGAAGGAAATTCACAGGCTCTCACTTAACAGCTATGGTATATATAATCGCAGAATGACCTGGCCTAAGGAAGGCTGTCCACTAAGACACTGAGCAATGATACAAAATCCTACATCGTGGACAACTTCAACATCCAAGTCTGAGGTGCTGGACTTGCGGCATAGCCTGAAATGAACATGAAGCTTAGAGCAGCAGATCAAAAACAGGGAAACCTCCACACATGTAAGCATTCACTATCATCAGTTGTTCACCAGCTGGCAATGTAGGCGTCCGATAAGCTGGACGCAGATGGTACTTGTGATTCAGCCAAACGGGAAGGATTACTAACATTGCTGTCCATTGTCAATTAGGAATCCCAGTAGAGCTCTAGTTAGGTTGTCTTACGATATAGAGTCCATAGCAGGAGGCTACGATATGGTGCCATTTCCCTTATTATTAAAAGCCCGGGGTAGCAAACATAGACGCTACCCAACTAATTCTCACTTGATGGCTTCGCTTAGGACAAATATGAAGTAAACACGGGGTGATACTATTCAATGGCAGGTATTGGGGATCAAGGAATAACCCACAGCTTCAGAAAAACCAGATATGCTGAACGCTGGCTCTTCGGCCACCCTGCCCGTTTCGGGGTGGGATGTGCTTAAGGTATACCAGTCTACCACCTCCTCCTGACTTCGCTGCTTGCTTCATTCTCGTCAATTCCAATATGGAGAAACAGGTTATTTACATGCTGAAGAGCCTTCATCTCCCGTGTTTGGCATTGAATTCATCCGCTACCTTTCTCGTCGTCCTGATGATGTCAACACATCCAGGAGAGTCAGAGTGGCAGCAGATTGAGACTGGGTACGTTTTCAGTGGCAGTTGCACAATAGTCCCATCAACCGCCGTGACTGTCTGCTCTTCGACCTGCTGTCTGACGTGTTTCTCAACATCTGCGAGATTCCAGGGCTTCTTCTTCCGATCAATGACAAGCATGCCGTTTGAGTCATATTTCACATCGCCATATAGCTCAGCCCAGAACTCGATCCCCAGGTCGTTGGCAGCTTTCTCCATCTGAGTGCCTGCCAGTCCAAACACCGGCACACCTTTTGGAACTCCCAGCATAACCGCCTTGGCAACTTCATAGTCCCGACACATCATACCGTACAATACCCCATGAGGCTTTACATGGTGCAGAGGAACCCCTTCACGGTCCAGGAATCCTTGGAGAGCCCCAACCTGGTAGATTGTGATTGCCGTGAGCTCTTCTGGAGAGAGCTTCATCTCCCGACGACCGAACCCTTGCAGGTCTGGAAGCCCTGGATGAGCACCGATTCTAACATTGTGAGCTTTGCAGTTTCGCACGGTTTCCATCATAATGAGAGGATCACCCCCATGGAATCCGCAGGCAATATTGGCGATATCGATCATGGGGAGGAGCTCGAGATCAGGACCGCAGGTCCAGTTGCCGTACTAAGGGACATCAATAATGCGAACCATAGCGAGCGTGTCAAGCTCAGGGAGCGTATATAATTACAGCCTCCCCCATGTCACAATTGATAAGTGCCTTCTGCTGTATCGGCGCCATAGTGCATTATATCGCAATCCGAACGAAGTTAGGAAAGCTGTGAAGTCCCTCAACGACGGATGAACTTCCAGAACACGCTTGGAAAGCGGTCATTCAAGCAATGACCAAGTGGCAAGAATATAGATATGCCCCAAAATTCGGTCTTTTCAACTCGCACGGCTGAATGGAACTTCGGACTGAGGGGTTCGCAGCTTATCAGTCATGACCGCATAGACGGATTCTCCGCATTTTCTCCAAATCTCCAACAAACGGCGATCACGGACATAACCCCACGAGGATCATACCTTGTTATTTGGCATTGACCCCAGAAGTTACTTTCTTTCATTGGAGTACAGCGCCGAGGAGTTCATCCTTCAGTGCAGATAATGATCCTCTTAAGCGGAGGGGGGCCAAGTTATGTTGCTCCAAGTCGCATCGCTAGCTGCTGCTCTGCATCGCGATGGATTGTTTACAGACTCTTCTCGTTGCCAACAGAGGCGAAATCGCTGTCAGAATTATCAAGACCGCAAAGTATGGTTACGCAAGCTGAGGCTGCTGATTGTCTCTGACGTTGTGATCCAGGAAGCTGAATATTCGTACAATTGCGATCTATACCGAGCCAGACGCTGCATCTATCCATGTTCATCTAGCAGATGTCGCCGTTCTCCTCTCTGGTTCGGCCTCAAAAGCATATATCGACGGGTGAGTCTGCTTTCCTCTTTTTAAGATTACTCTAACTCAGGAGTCTCCAGTGATCAAATTATTCAGAATGCAAAGCAGAACAATGCGGATGCTATTATCCCAGGTTATGGATTCTTATCTGAGAATGCAGATTTTGCGAGGGCTGTGGCTGCCGCTGGTCTAGTATTTGTAGGACCCTCACCTGAGAGCATCGAAGCTTTTGGCCTCAAGCATACTGCGCGAGAACTTGCGACGAAGGCCGGAGTTCCCATCGTGCCGGGATCACCTGGCCTGATCGAGAATGAAGATGACGCTGCGAAGGTGGCGCAGAAGTTGGGGTATCCAGTACGCATCGTGAAACAGGAGAGAACTTTTGCGGGGCTAATTGACGGTGCAGGTCATGCTGAAAGCCACCGCTGGTGGCGGTGGAATGGGCTTGCTTACATGCAATTCTGAGGCCGAAGTACGTAAGTCCTTCGCAACCGTCAAGTCCCGAGGTGAAGCATTATTCAAGAACGCGGGCGTGTTCATTGAGCGTTATTATCCATCGAGCCATCACATAGAAGTTCAGGTGTTTGGCAACGGAGACGGTAAGGCGATTTTTATTGGTGAAAGAGAATGTTCGATACAACGAAGGCATCAGAAGGTGATTGAAGAATGTCCGAGCCCTTTCGTCTCCAGAAAACCAGGGTTGCGAAAGAGCTTGGGTGAGGCTGCTGTTCGTCTGGCTGAGTCGATCAACTATGGTTCCGCAGGGACGATTGAATATCTCGTCGATGATGAAACTGGCTCATTCTTCTTTCTTGAGATGAACACTCGCCTACAGGTTGAGCACGGGATAACTGAACTCTGCTATCGCATTGACTTGGTTGAACTCATGCTAGATCAGGCGGATGCCCAACTTTCTGGGAAGAAGGGCGTTGAAGCATCTTTCCTTGCAAGCTTACCCGTGGAAGCCCCTTTCGGCGCTGCTATTGAAGCAAGAGTGTATGCTGAAAATCCAACCAAAGATTTCGCTCCTTGTCCTGGAACCTTGCAAACCGTCGAATGGAAGGAAATACCAGGGTCAAGGATCGATACATGGGTCTATCGAGGCATCAAGATATCCGCCAATTACGGTATATCCCACGAACAATATCCTCTTTTTGGGTACTTTGGCCAGGCTGACMGAAACGTATAGACCCCCTACTCGCGAAGGTCATGTACCACTCTCTAGATAGACAGCAGACTATAACGGGAATGAGGGAAATTCTAGGAAAATCACGCATCTGCGGGCCTCCAACCAATCTGGATTTCCTAGTTAAGATTCTAGAAGAGGAGACCTTTGTTGCAGGCAACACATTGACAAGATTTCTTGACGATTTTCAGTACACCCCTCCAGCAATCGACGTCATTTCGGGTGGCGCCTATACACTCATCGAAGACTGGCCTGGTCGACCGACCATAGGAAGGGGGTTTTGTCATTCTGGGCCAATGGACCCGCTAGCTTTCCGCATTGCGAATGCCCTTGTCAATAACCCCGTCGGCCTCGAGGCCCTAGAGATTACACTGAGCGGTCCAGATCTACGTTTCCTCGGACCAGCAATCATCTCCCTTTGTGGAGCGCCGATTGAAGCTAAACTCGATGGAGATACCGTTCCAATGTGGTCCAGAGTCAAGGTAGCCGCTGGTCAACGTCTGACTATTGGTAAAACTTCGGGAAACGGCTGCAGGGCTTACCTCGCTGTCTTTGGTGGATTCCTCAACGTGCCCAAATGGTTTGGGTCAAAGTCGACATCTCCAGGTGTAGGAGTTGGAGGTTATCAAGGTCGGCAGCTTTCATCGGGAGACCTTCTCGCAATCACAAGCGTGATCCCGGAAGTCAATAGTGATCTCCGTATACCAGAACACCTCATCCCCGATTACCCAAGTCACTGGGAGCTACTAGCCATGCCAGGACCCTATGATAACGGCTATCTTATTCCTGAGAGTATCGATATGCTGTTTGAGACTCAGTGGAAGATTTCACACAATGCAGCAAGAGGAGGCATCCGTCTCATCGGTCCCAAACCACGGTGGGCTCGCTCCGACGGGGGAGAGGGTGGCGCACACCCTTCTAATGTGATAGAATACGGATACGCAATCGGCTCGCTCAACTGGACAGGCGACGATCCCGTTATCTTTCCACAAGATGCCCCGGACTTTGGAGGATTTGTGAGCAGCCATACGATCGTAAAGGCAGATCTGTGGAAATTGGGACAGGTGAAAGCGGGGGATACCCTGAAATACAGAGCAGTGTCTTTGGCTGATGCCCTGGATTCACGGAGGGATATGGAGAGATTCGTTGACGAACTGGTCCATTGCTGCAAGCAAGGGCATGGGTTCAACGGCGTGAAACCGCTGAGAGGCATGCCTCCCGAGCATACAGCCGCGACTCGCGGCAAAGGCGTGGTGCATCGCATTGAAGAGCAAGGGAAGCAGCCCCTTGTGTCTTACAGACAGGTATGGTGGACTTATCGT